CTAAACGAAACTTCATTAAAGGAGAGATTGAAATTACATGCGCTACTAAGTATTGCGAATGAAGGGCCTTGATATTAGGGACACAATAAAAATAATTATACTGTTATCAAGTTCTTTCTTAATAAACAGTAAAAAAAAAAAGAAAATTGAAAAAAGATTATGTTTATTCTAACATCTTTCCAAAGCGCTTTTCACATAAAGAAATTAGTATTTTATTATTTTCTTTGTCTATTGGAAAAAGGTTTAAATAGAAAAAAAACTTTCATTTTTATTGCAACGTTTTGTCAACTAAGGCATCGACCTCTTCAGACTTGATTGAAAAAATAAAAAAAGTATTTAAAATTATAAGTAATATCCTTATATTACGCACAATTTAAAAAAAACAGCAGATTGCTTTATGTAAACACTAAAGGTAATTTTAATATATCGACTATGGTAAACGTATTTGCTACCATGGTATTTTGCTTGGGAGTATTATCACTAGACTTACTGACGTCAATTGCAGATGGCTTTGATTTAACTTAGATGCCATCCAGAAAATCCTACTAAGAGCAAGGTTAGTATTTTTCGCATCCCCTTAAGGTGGTTCCAGTGGCCTCAATGTTAAAATTATAAATAACCCAACCGAGGTTAATAAAATTGAATTATATTCTTTGAATTCCCATCTTTCTATTCGTATAAAAAAAAATTAAGGTTGACGATGAAAATTGTAAGAAATCATGCTTACAAAATCGTAGTTTTAAGACGGGTTAGATAGGAAATGCAAGCTTACGCGATATACAACCTACTGCTGCACTTATATAAATAACCCATAAAGTGTAAAAAACATACTATCTTGTATATATTATTACGCAGTTTTCGATGACGTGAGAAAAGTGTCTTGTTATCGAACAAAATCTTTAAATAATCGGAGACTAAGTATACAGTTGCGAGTGCAAGTCAGCTCTCAGCTGTCTGCATTCTGCAGAGTACATAAATATAGGTATAACTACTCTTGAACTTAGAAGCGTACCGTAACAGTTCATCAATTAGGGCACCATAAAACTTTTTTGTTTTTTTATATTAACTCACTAAAGTAACAGGTAAAATGTAGAATATGGCTTACAACAGTCTCTACGATAATTTTATACCATATTTTAAAGAAAATAATGATTAATTTTTAGTCTCCCCATTTTGATACGGCACTAGGCGCTGGAGCCACCTTAATCGTATTTCATGCCATTGCTATTAATTTTTCGTGGTTAGCGATTACAACGTCTTATGGAACTTTGCATTATGCATTATAAGTAAACAAACCTAACAAAGAATAAGACACTTTATGCTCAAAATAGCTCAAAAATTACCACAGTTCCGATATACGAAGTGCTGCGTAAGCCTACATGATTATTGTAAGTCTCAACTTGATACAAACAAACCACTACAAAATCTTACTGCAACACAGATAATTAAAAAATTGGTTCCAACGATCTATTTTTTCAATTTTCATTTCATTCATGTCGCGTTATTAACAAAGTATGCTTATACCTATCAATTAAAGATTTACTGAATCGTCAGTATAAAAATTAGCTCTAAGTTGAATGTATGTGGGTAAAATCAAAAAACTACGTGAGCGATTTTTAGTCAATAACTCAGAATTTGCTCAAAATTTAACCACATACTTTCTACCATCTGCTGAGTTAACTCATAAATTTTGAGCCAAAAATATCACGTACAGCCATAGTAATGGACTGTTCCGCAAATAATGCACTTGTTCCAAAATCTTTTATCATAGCTCTAATAATACTAGAAAATTTTTTTTTAAACCGTTTGCCAACGTATAATTTCTTGCTCTTTCCCATGGCGATGTCTATTTTGTCCCATCTGTATAAGTACTGTAAAAAAAATTGATGTTATAGAAAAAAATTGATTTTTCAGTGTTATCCCGTCAAGTTAGCTAAAATCTGAGTTCATTTTCGGAAGAGCGGGAAATATTACGTGAAGAATAGTTTTTAAAAATAGGGATTAGCATTAAGATTTAGGACAAAATTTAATTTCAAACGTTGGAAATGTAGTATTTAAGTTTTTTTATTGAAACTAATTTTTTACCGAACAACAACAATTCAGCATTAATATTATACATTTAGATAAAAGGCTGTTTTTTCTTACCTCTTATAATCCATTATATGACCAAAATTACACATGAAAGGGTAATATTTATAATTAGATTTTAGTAATCAGAAATAAGAGCTTTTTTGTTCAGATTACAATTTTGTTACTTTGATTTGAGTTTGAAATTGTTTCAACAATAAGATTTTTATTGTTTTCGCAGGGTATAAACGCGTGATAACTTAAAGTACCTTTAATAGTCTTTAGATTTAGGAATCTTGTTTCGTGAAAATTAGAGAAAGTCAAGTACTCGTCTTGTGGCACAAACACAATTTCAACATTTTTCATCGTATTTTGAGCCCACTTATATAAGGAGAGAGTGTTCAAAATAGTTAGATTTCTTAAACTAGCTCTTCATGTATTGCACTTGAATGTTGCTCCTAATCAATCGCATGACCCTTTTCCGTGAGAAGTAGCAAAAAAGTGCCATTCTGCATGGATACCGATGTCTTCGTGATGCAATGATGGATTTTTAAAAGCATTCTTATTTTTGAACTGTTGTGGAGCACCATCAGAAAAAAATAAAAAACTTATCAATCCTTGTGAATGTACTCTTTAAAAAACTGATTAAGTTTTTTTGTTTGAAACATGTAGACTGCAACTGTATTATGTGTAAGACAATCTGACAGGAAAACCATGCTAATATTTTTCAGTTTACCAATTTGTTTGTAGTAAATAATAACTCGAAATATTGTGCACTAATTGTTTTTTCAGTGAAAAGCTTGAGCTGCTTCTTGACAAATGAACACATATTTTTTGAAAAAATCAAGCACATTAAGAAACTCGTTTTCTTCAAAGTTATTTTTCAGTTCAATGTAAAATTTACTTTGTGATTTCGAAACTAAGTCATGAGGCACCAATTTTTCTAGACGTTCAATTAAGTTCTATATAAAGTCTTCAATATTGCATATTACTTTTAGTAGTGTACATCGCTTTTCAATACACCAAAATTTTTATTGTCATTGATGATCCATCGAAAACTTGCTGTAATCGTTATCTTAAATCGTTGATTAGTGGGTAGTTTTTTAATTTTCAAGAAAAACACTCTTCTGTCGGATCAATGCACACCAGTTTCAAGAGCAACTGTTTGTATGACGATTTCTTATCATCTGCATTGTTAATCCATTTGTTATTTTTGAGCAAAGAGAATAATTTACTTCCTAAAAATGATAATTAGTGAAAAATAAATAAAACCCTTAATTATTTTTTTTTTAATTGGAGCACGAATCTTTAATTCATTACTTTTTAAATAATATGAGAATTTTAAAATGGTATTCTATTTTAATATTTCATTGTTAAAGTAATTTTTTATTCTTAAAACAAATTAATGAAAAGTTCTTACCGTCCAACATCAATTTAACATTTTGATGATACGTGCAAACACACACTGTATGTGTGCCACTACTTCTAGCTAGTACGCAATGTTGAGGTCTTCAAAAAGTGAATGATGTTAAACCAATTTTGGGATCAGGGTATTCTGCTTTAAATTTTTGAAATAGTACCTTCAAATTCAACAGTATCAACTTCTTTGGCACTCAATGCCTTTCTCCAGTTACATCCTTAACAGATTTGACATCTTTTTTCCCAGGTAATTGACGAGAATTGTCTTCTCGTTCATAAAAATTAGCAACGTCTTTTTTCGTTTCAATAGTTTTTTCTGATTTTTCTGTTTTCTCATAAAAAGTATCAACGTTAACGTTTTCTTTTAGCGTTGCTTTCTTATTTCAAATGAAACTTGGTCCCAGTTAAAAAATTTCCCTAATCTTTGGTTCACCTCATTTTTTTTGGCAAAATACTTAATAACAAATTAATTCTTTTTCTAAAAGTAACAATAAAATAAAATATTAAAATTTTAAAAATTACAAGATTTGAATACATCGATTATTTGCATTAATTATTATATATTAACTGGTCAGTTTCTGATTTGATAAGATCTTTTATATTTTTAACAGTTTCATCAAAGTTCTCTACTTTTCCATCGTTTTCTGATTTGGGGTAAACATCAAAATTAAAAAAAAATTTTTTTCTCACTTCTGTAATGACATTTCCGTACTTTCTTTTGACGTAAGATTTTTGATCACATCTGCAAGATTTTTATAATTATTTGTAAATAAAGTACATTGTGTAATTTGATAACAAAGTCGAGTAATATACAAGTGCCTTCTTTTTTTTACTTGAAATATTTATCACTTTATAACCTCTAAATTAGCGCGCAATCGAGTACTTATATTACGACCTCGAGGGATGACAATTTTATTTGTTATGATCACGGAGCTTACTAATATTTTTTACGTAAAATTTTTCGTTCTTTCTAATGGTGAAGTCAGATTTCAGCTAAATTGATGGGATAACACTGAAAAATCGATTTTTTTTAATAACATTAATTTTTTTCACAGTACTTATACAGATAGGACAAAATAGACATCGCCATTTGGAAGAGCAAGAAATTTTACGTTGGCAAACCGTTTAAAAAAAATTTTCTAGTATTATTAGAGCTATGATAAAAAATTTCGAAAAAAATGCATAATTCACGGAACAATCCATAACTATGGCTGTACTTGATATTTTTAGCTAAAAATTTATGAGTTAACTTAGCAGATGGTAGGAAGTATGTGATTTAATTCTTAGCAAATTCTGAGATATCAACTCAAAATCGCTCACAGAATGTTTTGATTTTATATGTTAAAAATCAATAACCACCTATTTGTTTTATGGGTGAAAATTTTACAAATTACAATAAATACTTTAAAGAGTACATGTAAAATAATGGCGATAGAGCATTAAGCTACAAGTTTATTATTTACTCTACCATCATTTTTACTTATGTTAGGCAAAAGCAAAAAAATTTCACTCACTGTTAGGATCGTGTATCCACCTTTTTTTGTTGGCAACTTTTGCGTTTCTCGAATCCTCCTGGAAGCAGATTGTCATTATACATTAAGCTTTTTATCATTAAAAACTTGAAGTAGAACATTTATCAGTCTTAAATAACTCCTTTTAAGCTGAAAGAGTTTAAAATTTTCGGTTCCATTGATTATATACGTTAAAACTATTCAAATAATCACAACATAGCGAAAAAAAGTTATTTTTATTTTCATATTTTTTCAAAGAGCTTTTTACCAACCATAAGTTATAGTTATAGCGGTAGTTGCATGTTATAGTTATAGACTTTTTTTGCCCTTTATATTATAAATATCAGTGTTTAATTACTTCCTTGGTCTTTAGGGCCGAGGTTTAAATAGAAAAAAACATAATTGCTTTAATTGCAACTAGTATGAGCAAACAAGGTGAAAACTACCCCTTTTTGAAAGAAATCCAGACTGGGACAAAAAAATTTATTTGTATAAATCTTAAGACCGACATCAAATGTAACCTCTTTTGGACGAAAAAAAATACCAGCAATAGGTCCAAAAAAATAGTAAAAATAACTAAAACAGGTTTTTCGCTTCTACTGGAAAAGCTGAAATTCGGACAAAAAATCTTTCTTGATGGAAAAGGTACGCAATGTCAAGACACACAAAAATAGCCCTGGTAGGCCTTAATTGGTCTTGCCGTTTTTGCGCAAATTATAAAAATGTGCCAATTTTGCCCTGCTTTTGGATGGTTCGTAGCTGGCATTGAAATTAACATTTGAACTTTAAATTCAGACAGAACATGGGTTTTGCGGTTCTTTACAACCCTAACACATTTTTAAAACAATCGTATGCAAACTTCTTAAAAACCGTCAAATAAACTTAAAAAAGGTCCTTCTGAAAAATGGCTCTAAAAATGTTGTTAGACCAGATAGAGCCATTTTTTAAAATGTCTTTTCCTTATTAGTTGTTAATCTAACACTAGTTAAATTTTTGTATCCCTAATTTTTTTGTAAGTATCCTAAAAATGTTTCGTGTGATGTGTTCGTTGGCAAAGTACCAGCCCGTACCGCTGATTTAGGCCACGCCATCTTCCTTGCAGTACTGTCGACGCGTTTTTTAGCGAGTTGCTTCAAACTGATGCACTCAGAAAATTCTTGAAATATTCTAATCTGAGCATCGTTTATTGCAAATTTTTTTATAATATGGGGTAGTTGGTAATAGTATTGAGATTGCACGTATCAATAACATTCCAATAATAACATAGCTGCTGCAATTTTATGCATATTTTATGTATACATACGATATTACGTGTTTATACGTGCATGTAGAAAATATTTATAGTAATATAAGTGTTATAATGAATATTATAACAGTAACATGTAGTTATAAATGTAGGTCAAACCATGAAAAGAAAATTTTAAAATTATTTTTTGTTATTATTAGAAAAAAATTTTCCAGTTGTCATAATTGCTATACAATGTTGTAATGTATTGTTTATTATCAACATCATCTTCTAGTAGGCTGTAGATAATGTATTCATTTAAAGGCATCTTAAAACGCAAAGAAGAACGAAGCTGCAGTTTTTGATACGTGCAGTCTCAATATTATCAGGAACCATCAGCAAATGTGTAAAATAAGTATGTGTGCATGTGTAGAATGAGTTATATCGTAGGATTTTGTTGACCTATCCTTATAAACCTTGGCCTTTTTTTTATTTCTGGATATCTATTGCTTGTAACTCATCCTTATTTCCTTGTTTTCGCTAAGATGACGTAAAAAAAATAAATTTTTTAGCGTTTTCCTGTTGTTTTATTTCATTTTATCATGTAGAGCCTGAGAGATCATAAAATTTCCTACGAACATTTGTTTAAAAATGTAATAAAATAAGCATAAGGTAGTGTTTGTACGTGTAAAATGAATGATGGACGTGTTTGTGTAGCCAGAGTGCCAGAGGCTGAAAAATCTAAAAAAAATAATGGTAAATTCCAATAAAGCATATTGTAACGAGGCAAAATGGCCTCTACGTCTTAAAATGCTCTCGCTGATGCAACGTATATACAAAGAGCATTAAGTTGAAGCTTCTCCGAATTTTTTTATTATTCGGGATATGTACATATGCCGAGAGAAGAAGAAGAAGACACTAACGAACAACCAGCTGAGCGACAGAGACGCAGACGCGCTAGCAAGAAAGGTCAGGAAGAATGCAAAGGCAACTACCGGGACACATAGTAGCTGCTATGCCGAGAGTGACTACGAGGGGAGATATGGGGCAGCAGCAGCGGTGGTAGCCATTGCTCAAGCGAGCGATCGGAGTCCGTCTAGAGAAGAGCCTCGAGCTGTACCCTTAGGTGGGAGCAGCAAGAGCAACGGTTTTTTGTGGATTTTGCGTGGCAAGAGAAGAGTGCAAGAGAGCGAGTTGAGAAAGTTCTCGAGCAGGTGCGTAGAGTATTGAGAGAAGAGAGAAAATTGTGTGCATGAGTCTAGCAGCTGCTTTATTCTCCATGGACGACGAGATCTCCAGATCGAGGACTACGGAAAATGCTGAGACAAGAAGAAGAGGATACAGAGAGAGAGAGAAGAAAAAGAGTGAAGTCGTAGGACAAACAACCCGCTCGAGGACCCCGGGCGATATCGCGCTGGGCTGGACTCGTGGACGTTTGACCAGGTGGTGAGGCTAGAGAGAGAGAGAGAGAGAGTAGCGTAGACAGTGTGAGATTAGATTTAAATTAGATTATTCTTTATTAAGGACTTCTGGTATAAGCCATGTCTGCCCCTCAGTGAAAAAATTTACATAATTATACATAATAATACGTGATAAAGGTGAAAAGATAAGTAATTTACAAGACTAAATAATACTAGTTAAGGTTAGAATTGTAAATGTGTTGCTATGTTGCTCATTACAGATTTGAAAATACTCTTATGAGATTTATAAAAATAAATAATAATAATAACAATAATAATAACAAAGGCAAAATGTTTGAAAAACGTGTAGAACAATAATTAAAATGCTTTTTGTCAAGGTAAGTGAGTTTTATGAATGGTGAAGGTATGCATTTTATAATTTACCAATTTGCATTTTTAGTAACGTAATGTGCGTTAGGTCTAGGCGTGAATAATGCAGATGTAGAAAAAGTGGTGATGCGATTATCTAGACTATTGGTCTTTTCATAGCTCTGTCTATATCGCGCTGTGTGGTGCGCCTAAGTGATTTAAAGACCTCAAAGTCAGCTAACAACCCATTTCTCGATGCATGCTTAAGCGCGTTATCACGGGCCCTCATTTTCTGTTTTATTGATTAGTCGATCCATGGTTTACACAAGGATTTGAGAAGTATAGTTTGAAAAAGACCAACTTTATCAAAAGAGGACAGTAGGCCATCATAAAATGTGTTCAACGTATCACTTAGATTCCACTTTGTCAATTTTAAATTTAGCCTATGCATTGCGTTGGAAATAGTCTGATTTAGAACCGTTTCATTTGTACCGTTGAGTTTTCTGGATAAAAACGATCTTATATTAATAGGCGGTTTTAGAATATTAAGTATAAGGGTTATAAAATAATGTCTGGCAATGAAAGGTATCGTTGACTTAGAAAAAGAAGATATTTTTGCTGAAGAGAGAATAATAAACAAGTCAGTTTAGGTGTGCGATAGTCGATCTCTGTAAACTGAGGAGGTTAGTGAAGTACTATGGCGTCAAAATTGAGAAAGTGGGGCCTTATTATTTACTGGAGAGTGAGCAGAATTTGGAGTAAGAGCCTTGAAATTGGTATCAAAAAAAATCAGAATGAGGGGTGAGTCTCTCTGAGACCTCATGCAGACGATCAAACTTCGAAGCACAGAAAATGCATAATTTAGCTTTTTACGGGCTGCAACTGCTGAGCTCCATCAGGGATACGTTTGCGGCGATAAAAGTGGACGCAAGTAGATACGTTAATCACCTCCGGTACTAAATATGTCAGTTGCAGTGGCCTTGCTAAGTTTAACCAATCTTTCAACTATTCGGTTACGCATTTCTGTAGAAGCTGCATGAGCGATAATACTTCGGGAAGTTGGCACTGAGGAAGTAGCATCAGTCGCCTTACTACGGGGGGACCATGGACGGACTGACGTCACAAAAGGTAAAAATTCAGTGCAGTCGATAGTTTTAAGCACTCTGTTAAGTATATCGGAATCAGAGGCTTATACGGCTGTAGGTATGTTGGTAATGAGAAATTCCCTTGTCTGTACAAATAAAGCGTTCGATACAAGTTTATTAACTGTTAAATTTTGTGCGTAAACAATGCTCTCAAGGCCTACAAAGCGGTTCTCAATAGAAGCCACTGATGTATGAATGTTATTTAGTTCTGATTTGTTTTCACTGCAGAGATCTTCTATAGTTTTGAGAATCGTAGCCAGTATATCCTCGTTATTTCCCATGTTTGCGTAAGAGTTTGAAGTGTGATCTATAGATATATCGGTTCGAGGGACTTTCAATAATCGGTCTATGTGTGGATGAGATGGTGATAATTGACGCTTTTTTGAAGTATTTGTACGTTGTGTACTTGACCAGGACGAGTTTTAAACGTACTTAGGAAACGTATAAGTAGATGAATGGTTGGAGCAAAATAAGTTATCGAAAGAAAGAGCTACCAAGCAGCAGCTAAAAATTAAAGGTTTACCCAAGAACTAACTTTGGTGAACACAGCGTACATGGAATGGTTTTAAGCAGGCACTATAGCGCACTTTAAAGTTACCTAATGACATCTTAAGAGAAAAATCATAACGCCTGCACACTAAACAAGATTTACGCATAATATGATGCGGTGTGTACAATTTTCATGATATGAGAGGTAATGTGATTAGGTGAATAAATGAGACGGAGTCCAAAACTTATATAAGACATAAGTAATAGTCATTAAAATTAATGAAAGTATACGTATCTTTCAACTAAAAAGTAAGTGTGTAAGATGTAAAAACTATAGTTAGTAAGGACACCAGTAACCTCTAGAAAACGCTGCAGTCAGTCGTCGTGAAAGAAACGATGTGCAAGAAGCTTC